GAGAGAGAGAGAGAGAGAGAGAGAGAGAGAGAGTGTGTGTGTGTGTGTGTGTGTCATAGGTTAGGGGTTACGTGAGCCATATTGTTAATGTGTTTGTAATATGGTGCATATGACACAAACCATTTAGAGGATGGACGACACCACAGCATGGGGAAGGCCGTGGATGTACTGACCTATGATCCAAGACAGATGATATGGATATAGATGAAAAGGACAGACAGCATTCCAGCCATAATTATGTGTGTCATTCGGTTCTTTTTGTTTTAATGTTAATGGCCTGCTATTGCTAATCATGTATATTTTACTTTTAATGTATTTTACAAACTACTGTTGTACATGTATAGCCTAAGACAGACAGAATCCTATATATCTATGTGTATGAATGTGTGTTATGCATTTGTCTCCATCATGAGAGCCTGCTGCCACAGCTGACAATTAATTTGTCTCCTACTGATAACATCATCCAAAGAGAAAGTTATTTATTCACTGACTAGCTGAGTCAGGTGTGTGTTAAGGAAGGCAGGCTGTTGGCAGTTGTGCATGTTTCTGATAAAAAGTGCGTGTTTATGTGTATGTTCAGACGACCTTTGCTGCTATGTGAGGAGAGGAGAGATTTGGTCCAGTGTTAATACTGTCCACCGTAATGAGCGATCAATAAACACAAGAAAGACTCACTCTTACAAGGTGTTTGTGTAAATGCACACGCACACACACTGGTTTCCATTTTTACTGGGACATTCAATAAACGTAATGATTTTTATACTTTACAATCTGTATTTTCTACTCCTTTACCCTAACCCTATCCCTAAACATATCTCTCACATGAAACATTTTTATGTTTTCAAAAAACAATCAGTATGATAAATACGCTTCCTCATGGGGACCAAACAAATGTCTCCACAAAGTCTAAATTTACTGGTATTACTGTAATTGTGGGGATATTTGGTGCTGTAATGTAGGGAACCAGGACATACTCTCACATTTTTTTCAAACCCTTTACAGGACATACTTCTCACATTTTTACGTTGCTTAAAACAAAACAAACGAAAAAATGTACACACTGTGCCCCATAATGAAAAAAACAACAACAGTTGTATGATAACTGTGATAACTTTGCAAATAAATAAAAAAAAAATTAACATAAGCAAGTAATTAGCAAAGATTTTCGCATCATACCCAAAAAGTCCCAACGAAGTACCGAGTTATATAATTTTAAAAATATATTGTGGAAATCTCTTATTATGTAGGCATTGTTCCTATAATTCAATTGTAATGATCAATTTAACGCATCATGGTTGTTTGTTTTATGAATGATTTTTAAAAATTCAGTTTCATTTAATTTGCAACATTTATTATATTTAATAAATCCATGTTCATTTTTTATTCGTTGTATTTGACATTATTCTCAGCGATAGGCAAAAATCCAGCAAAATGCTTTTTGTTCCGGCGGAAATGTTGACGCCATGTTGTTGTCACACAGTACCCGGATGCATCATATAAATGAACGCGCAGGCCTTCAAGCCTTCCTTTCTTGAAGAACCGGAGTGAGTTCGTGTGGTGTGTTTCCTGACTCACCGCTGTTCGCTTCTCAACTGTTTCCACGAATAAGTCGGTCAGGAATTAGTAACCATGGTAATTTAAAGTTTTACTAATACTGTATTAACACAGAGAAGCAGTCTTTGTTGTCTTCTGTGTCTGTATTTAGGTGTTAAGCAGCTCGTGTACACACGTGCCGCACAGTGTTTCTGAATTGTCCCGACGTTGAGCTAATCCATGATTTGTAGGCTTGGAGTTCGAGCAATTTGCGATCATGAGTGCTTATGATCTTCTGTTGATAAATTATGACACCGTTTACTTTGTGTGTTATATTTTGTAAAATAGTGTATATGGTTGTAAGTGTACACATTTTATCTTCCATCTTTTTGAATGAGCAGTTGTGAGTAGTAAAGCTAAAAAATAAATAAAAATTGATTCACTAGAACCCGCATTCCTGTATTCAAGGTTATAAAATGGAGGTGGTTGTGTAGTCACATTAATAACAGCATTGCCGGAGTTTTTTTTTTTTTTTAACGGAAGTAGAGCATAGACGATTCATAGCAAGAGTTGCGTATTTCTGGCTTGTTTATAATATTTTATGTGAACGATGTTTTGCCGACGTCCTCACTAGGAGGAAAGTCTAAACATTTGACATTCAGTATAAAGATTTTGCAAATTTAGTGATTTGCCCTGCATTTTATATTAATTGATATATTTGTTATAGAATCCAATTTCAATGCATGTATTGTGTACTGAGTGTTTGAGACTTGCAGTTAAATGTGTGCCCCAGACCGTTTAAGTAAAATAATGTTATACAAGATTTATTTTTAAATTTGTATGGGTTTGTTCTGATACCCTCTGCTGATACCCTGACCTGTTTAAGTTTAGTGGGTATGTCAGCCCTCTGGGTTATAACATAAATGTAATTTAGGGGGAAAAAAAGCAAGTATTTAGTGAGTATCAGAGTTGCATTGTTTGCACCGTTTAAGAAGTTTATTAACAGCATGTATGCTTTGCAGGCATTCAAAGACACTGGTAAGGCTCCTGTTGAGGCCGAGGTGGCAATTCACCGTATCCGCATCACTCTGACCAGCCGCAATGTCAAATCTCTGGAAAAAGGTGTGTTTGCGGCCCTGGTGCTCTGGTGGTACTAAATTGATGGCAGTGAGGATAATAATATATGAATGACATAAACATGAGCTATATTATACGCTATTCTGAGCCTTTTTTCACACAATTCTGATTTGTGTGTCTGAATAGGTCAGGCATGTTGTCATTTAAACACTTTTTTTCTCTTTAGTGTGTGCTGATTTGATCCGAGGTGCCAAGGAGAAGAGTCTGAAGGTGAAGGGTCCTGTGCGTATGCCCACCAAAGTGAGTACCAGTTTTGATTTTTGTCTTGATCTCATATCTAAGCTAATGGAAATTTCAAAGGACTTCAATTAAATACTCATATCATTCACAGACAGATGTTTGCCAAGAGAATGTCCCAGTTTTTAAGACGCTTATCAGGCTGTCATTCTAAATTTGGTTATTTTTTTCTTATTCTCTCTCCCTATCAATAAGACTCTTCGTATCACTACTCGCAAGACGCCATGTGGTGAAGGTTCCAAGACCTGGGACAGATTCCAGATGCGGATTCACAAGCGCCTCATTGATCTTCACAGTCCATCTGAGATCGTCAAGCAGATCACCAGCATCAGCATTGAGCCTGGTGTTGAGGTGGAGGTCACCATTGCAGATGCATAATTGCTGTCATCCCAATTAATCAGCTGTGTGTTTGCTCTCAGCTCAATAAAATTGAGATTTTTGGATTTCTGTCTGTTTTGTTTTTTGTTTTTTTTACCCCCCACTGACCTCGGACTGGTTAGGTCTCCCATAAAATTAATTTCTTGTCAACTTACGTTGCTAGAAGCCTGTATGCATTTATTTAATTGTGTGGAGCATAGTGAAGTTTAAAAAGGGCAGTCAGTGCATTTCAATATTGTTTGGAATACAACATTCTTAAATGTTGTCTCTTGTGATCTGCAGAAGAAAAAAAGCATACAGGTTTGCAACTACATGATGGTGTGTCAGAAGAATGAGTACTCTGAAACGTGAGGATATGTGAAGTTAAATTACTACAGATCTTTTGCAGTGCCATTGCTAAAGTAAAAAAAAAAAAAATCTGAGGTCTTTGTCATTAATAGACAAGTATTTTTACTGAAATGTGCGTGGCTTATTCACATGAACTGGAAAAGTTAAATGTTTATTGAAATTGGTAAGCAATAATTAAATATTTAAATTAAATAAGCCCCTCACAGCAACTGAAATGTGAATGTATACAGAATTTATATTTTATGTTTAGGCAACAATATGGTCTTGATGTTGAATGAATATATATATATATATATATATGTCTTGTATTGGTCAGGACTAATTAAAAAATAAAACAGGCGAAGAACAAGATGTCTTCCCAAATTGCACCTGTAATTTCTTGATTGTACCACAATGAATATACATCATATACAATTTACAGGTGTGCTGAATGTCTTTTTAGGACCTGATCGTTAAGTACTGATTGGTGAGCAGGTGTGACAAATGCATTTTGGGTAAGCTCTTGTCTTGCCCGTGTTATCAAAGCAATTTTAGGTAATTGTTTAAAATCATTTCAGTTGTTGGGAGTTTTATCAGTTTGCTTTTGGTGTCTTATCTAAATCTCTCACCCATGTTAATGTCAAGTTGAAGACTTTTAAGATTTAACTCATTATTTTAAGCACATAGCTTTTATTATCATATAATCATGACAACAGTTATTGACGTGACGAATGAGGACACGGTGTTAGTGGCTATGGAGTCAACTGCTTGTGAACCTCATAATGCAGCTCTACCTGAACTTTCTGGAGTTTCTTCCATAACATCACAGGTCATAAGATTGCAAGTACTAATGTTGTCATGAACTCTTTAATAACATATTATATTGTTTTACGTATATAGTATAGTACTTTTGTGTGGTGTTTGCCGTCTTTGCTATGTGCAGAGTGAGACTGCTGAAATCTCTGAAAAACAACAACTTCGAGTTTACTTGAAGGTGCGCCCTTTCAGTGAAGAGGAACTCCGAAGCAATGAAGATCAGGTGTTGTAGAACTTGGTGTAATGCTAATCAAGTTTTGTGTTTGCTTTAGGAAGTGTTGGACTTCTATGAACATATTTTTTTTTCTTCCAGGGTTGTGTTGTATTGGAAGACTCTGAGACCATTGCCCTTCATGCTCCTAAAGGATCTGCCACCATGAAAAGCAGCGAGAAAGGAATTGGTCAACAGGTTTATAAATTTAGCTTTACCCAGGTACAATACTATTTTAAAAACCCAGAATTTGGATGAATCTTGATTCTACAGGTAGTGACTTTTTATTATTATTATTTTTTTAATTAAATGCAGATATTTGGACCAACATGCACTCAGGCAGAGTTTTTTGAAGGCACAATCAGTTCACAGGTGCATGACTTCATTCATGGGAAAAATGCATTGGTGTTCAGTTACGGTGTGACCAATGCTGGAAAAACATACACTGTACAAGGTGAACTTAACACAGACATTCACACAGTATATGCATCCTATGATGTATCTTCTGTTGTTGAATGTTTGTAATTGTTACTTGTGAAATTGTCTGTTTTAAGGTTCTCAGAAAGAACCTGGCATTTTGCCACGTGCTTTAGAGGTTGTGTTTAAGCACATTGCTGGCCGCCAGTATGAGCATATGGACTTAAAGCCATATTTGAGCTCAGATGTGCAACAATTGGACTCTGAGCAGCTAAAAGTAGAGAAGAATGCCAAGGCAGCACTATTCAGTTTGCTCAAAGAGGTAAGAATGGTCTGCAAATGACATTTTAAGTTTTGGCTTCAATCAGGGGTGTCAAACTCCTTTCCTGGAGGGCCGCAGCCCTGCAGAGGTTTGTTCCAACCCTGTTCCAACACTCATACCATGTAGTTTTCAAAAAGGACCTGATTATCTGGATCAGGTGTTTAGAATTGGAGCTAAACTCTGCAGGGATGTGGCCCTCCAGGAGCTGAGTTTGACACCCCTGGCTTAAATAGTCATACTTTGATATAGCTGCCTGCCGTTTGCTGAAAACATTCCAGTGCTTATTTTTTATTTTTAAGTTGTGTACTGCTTCTGAAAGTCAGTTAAATCTTGTATATCTCTCTTCTCAGGAGCCTGAACCCACAAAATCCAGTAGAAATAGGAGCTCAACGTCCTCAGTCAGTAGTTTGTCATTTTCCAGCGTTTCATACGACCACACAGGTAATAAGCATTATGATCACTAAAATGTGTGAAAAATACCACGTGTAAGGACCTGGTTTCAGCTTTCTGCCTATGTCTTTCAGCCGACAGTGATGGGATGGTTGAAGGGCAATGTCTGTACTCTGTTTGGGTGGCGTTTTATGAAATCTACAATGAGCATGTGTATGACCTGCTTCAGCTAGCCCACACCAGCAAAACCAAAAGACGTCTTGCACTACGGGTTTGTGATGACAGCACGGGGAGCTCTTACATTAGAGGTATAGTTTCTTCATTAAAATAAGCAAATGAGATTGTTTATTCGCTTTAATGCTTTTTTTGTAAAGGTAGTTGGTGTCTTTTTAGATTTAAGATGGGTTAATGTGCAGAATGCAGAGGAGGCTAATAAGATCCTACGTGTTGGCAATAAGAACCGCAGTGCAGCAGCAACCAAGATGAACCAGTCATCCAGCAGAAGGTCATCTATCATCTGTTTACCCATTTTAAAAAACAGCTTTTTGTGTATTCCAAGTATAAAGGTGCTTAATTTCACACTTTTAAATTAAATGTTCCCTCTTGGTGGAATGACCTGCCCAACTCAATCTGAGCAGCTGAATCTTTAGCTATCTTCAAGAATCAGCTTAAAACGCATAGCTTCCATCTTTATTTGACCCTCTAACTCTAGCACTCTCTATTCTAATTGTTAAAAAATAAAATAAAGACTTGGACTTGCACTCTAATTTACTAACTGCTTGTTTTCTTTTATCACTAGCTTCTCTATTCTTTTTGTTTTCTATTTATTTTTATTTATACAATTAACAAACAAAAAAGGCCTCTAACACTAGCCTGCTCTGTTCTTTTTCTATTGTTTTCTTTTTATTATACAATAAAAAAAAATCCTTGCTACGTGTACTATGTTAAGCTAACCGAGACTTGTTATAGCACTTAGTATCGTTGCTCTTTTGTTGATTTTGATTGCTTCCATAGTCCTCATTTGTAAGTCGCTTTGGATAAAAGTGTCTGCTAAATGACTTAATGTAAATTTAATACAGTGTATATACGTTGCAGTTTAGGGCAGCCTGTAAATTTTTAAAGCAAATTAAATTGCCACCATAGTCCTCATTTGTAAGTCGCTTTGGATAAAAGTGTCTGCTAAATGACTTAATGTAAATTTAATAGTGTATATACGTTGCAGTTTAGGGCAGCCTGTAAATTTTTAAAGCAAATTAAATTGCCAAAAAAAAACACTTTGGTCTGTTTGCAGTCATAGCATCTTCACCATCAAACTGATACGCATGGGAGGAGATGTTCAGGGACTGTCAGAGTAAGTGAAATGCATATGTTTTGAAACGCATGTGATTTTGAAAGTGTAACACCTCTCTTTTCTTGCATAAGTCTCTCACTTTGTGACTTAGCCGGCTCTGAAAGGTGTAACAAAACCAAAACATTTGGAGAGCGTCTGAAAGAAGCTGGTAATATAAACAATTCACTGCTGATTCTAGGCAAGTGTATTGCAGCACTCCGGAATAACCAAGGTTGCAGGTACATGCAAATACTAACTAGACGGTTAAGAGTGTCTGGTATATGTGCTGTTTTCAAAATGGTGTTCCTGTTTGCTTCTCTAGGATGAAGATGAGTTACATCCCATTTCGAGAAAGCAAATTGACAAGGCTCTTTCAGGGAATGTTTTGTGGGCGTGGCAGGGCTTCCATGATTGTGAATATTAATGAGTGTGCCTCAACTTACGATGAGACCCTCCATGTGATGAAGTTCTCTGCTGTTGCCAGACAGGTTTGTGAGGGTTGTGTGTGGGCTTTTTTTTTTTTTTTTTTTTTTTTTTTTTTTTTTTTTTTTTTATTGTGA